GTTAAGAGCGAAAATTTCTGGATTAACATTGAACCTGTCTTAAATCAGCTTGATGATGTCATTGTTTCCGATTCAGCTCCATCATTAGAATTGCTTAATGTCTGTTTCAAAACACTTACAAGAGCATCAATCGTTCTTCCTGATGGATTAGAAGATGTTATTAGCAGTGATGAATATGTTTTGTGTAAAATGAGTTTAATATTGTATCGTATTAAATCTGAAGAAATTGTTCGAAAATTAAAACAGTTATCATCAAAAATCCAAGATAGTGAACAGGGTTTTCTTCGTGATGAATTTCGTGTCACATCTAGTGAACGAAACGCTGAATATCTAGTTCAAGCAACAGAGTATTACTCAGCAGTTCAATTTTATCCGAACTCAAATCGTATGATGAAACTATGTGAATGGAAGGTGTACAAATTACCATCATCATTGCTTAATCTTACAAATGAAGACGTAGCAAAAGCAAAATTCGTTGCACAATACAATTTAGAAAGAAGTCACTCTGAAGATGGTACACCAACGTATATGTTTGGCAGAACAGATATTGAGGATTATGGACATGTATCAATTGCTAATTATGGGACAAAACCTGGACCTGAAATAGATGGATACTATCGCATGAAATTGCTCGTAATTAAAGATTTAAAATCATTGAAAGGATTGCCAGTTCTAGCGAGAACAATACGCAATCAAAAAACTGGAATCAGTACTGTTATAGTCTATGGTTTCAATCGACGACTTCGAGATAGTCTTGGTCTTGAAGTTGATAGTGATATGTTGTATGATGATGATAAAGTGATGAAATTCGATATGAAGACAGGCCAAAACATAGAAAATTCGGATTTATAAGATACTTGGAGTTTTAGCTTTGCACTTTTTTTGAAAGAAGAAATTGTTTCTTCTTTGAAATAGCATTGTATTCAAGAATTTTTTAAAACTAATTTGTGAGTGTACATTTTCTCTTGGATAAGACAAATATGTAAATCGAAACTTTATCTGCTTGAAAATGAAGTCTTTAGCACGTTGGCGCTGTAATGATTACGTCAAACTTCCTCACAACTAACTTCTTCCTTGAATCCATTAGAGAATATGGTCTTTTCAAACAGTTTCAGATCACCAATAGCACCGCTTACCATGCCCTTCAGAGTTGATTTTATTTGCATTCTTTATCAATGTATGCAATGTTATCCGAACGCCGTTTACAATTACAGTTTTGATAAGCTAACCGTTGACAGAGGTGGGATCGGTTGATACTTTTTTTTTGAATCCAACCAGACTGTATACTTTGAATGTGAGCATGAGATTGCTAGTTTTCTCCTAATTCGTAGCCATCGTTCACTCGCACTCACATTAAAAACTCTCTCAGTTATAACTATCAACGTCTGTGTTACAATTAAAGTGTTCATATTTCAAAATATCCATAAATGAATGACAGTTTTTTATATATTTGCAGTGATTCATCATCAATATTATAGTTTAATAAGTTTGAAATGCCTATCTACGCTACTTTCACTTGAAAAATCAATAATTGAAAGCAATGATAGACATCTAAATTCAATAAAATTCAGTGATGAACACGTAGCTTAGAATGTTTTATCATCAATATTATATAAACAACACCAAAACATTTAACTGCAAAATTAAATAAAATTATCATTCAAAGATTAAGGAATTTTCTTGAAATATGCAGATTGCATTGCATTTAAATTATTCAGTTATCTTGAATGGAAGTTAATTAGATATTGTCTTCGTTGTAATACAAGCACAATTATTTCTACTTGTCAGATAGTTTTTATTAGTGATTCATTTGATACCATAATCAATATTAGTAACGGATCACACATATTGATCAAAAACAACACAAAATATTAGAGATATGTTATTGAAAACTGTATCGCCGAATATTTGCTCAACTAGAAAAACCCTCGTACTTATAACGTATGTTTCTACGTTCTAAAACATGTTTGTAATTCAACAGTTTGAATATTGATGAAGCCAAATGAATTTTCGACCATTATTATGATGAGTGTAAAAGTCTGTAAGCTATTCAATGTTACTTTCAACTAAAAGAAAAGTTTAATTATGAAAAAGCAATGAATAACTATTACTTCAATCGGTGAAACTAGATGACTTCTCGTCAAAGTCGAGAATGTAAAAAAAGGTACGAAGCATGAACATCGGCTATGTGAAATAATCCAGTTTTCGAAAAAAAACTAAAAATCAATTATAGACTCAAAATCGAATTGTGTTTTTCTTGAAGGTATTTCAGTTGCTGAAAATTAGACTGATTTTCTGTCTTATCTTATCGTTACGACTACGAGCCGGAATAAATGTAAGATAAAGTAGATAATATTAATTAACTAAATAAATATTTTTCATATAGAAATAAGTGTGAATACTAGAACAACAGTTGATGCTAATTGTTTATGCAGTAAGTAGGCAATGAGAGTAAAACCGTGAGAAACAAAATTTCATAAAAAGAGACTGTTACTTAAAGACAAATCAACAACCTAACTTTTTCAAATGAAATGCATGGTTTTTGGTTTAAATAGCTTTGTCATCGATTTTTGTACAAAGTGTGAAAAAAATGGATAAAAAGAAGCGAACAGAAAAACAAAAGAATTTCTCAAAATCTTAGCATTTTGTCCGTTTATAGAAAGAACCTAAAGTTACGACTGAAAAAAAGCTAATCAAGAGTCATCAATTCTATTCAAAATACAACATTTTTTGATATATCTGCCTAGTTGAAAATTGCTAGGTAGCGTAAAGGTAGCTTACGTCCATTAATCCTAATAAACTCTGCGAATCCTATGATTCACTATCACCACTTGTCCAAGGTGATGCCAAGAAATGCTATACCTTGTTCTGTATTTTTAATAAAAATCATCAATGCTACTATCTTGACATAAATAAGTCACTAATCATACAATTTGTCACAATTTTAACATATTTTGTGTATTTCTCAAGATTTGTATTTTCGAACGGAATTGATTTCAGTTCAATTGCGATGCATATAGTCAACTGATGAGAAAAAATATCAAAATCATTTTTTGGTAAAGATCGAAAATCAAGAGTATTGCATTGGAAAAGAATGATGAGATGATTGCGAAAGCAATAATTGAAGCTATATGACGTATGCAAAAAATATTCGAACATATTAAATAAAAATTTGTTAACATAACTCTTGCTTCACCTTCACCTTACACATAGCAAAGTGTTTGTGTATGAAAATGGATAGACAACGAACAGAATAATATTGTTTTCTCTTCCATTCTCTGATGACATCATTTTTTGCACCTTACTGTACGTTAGAGGGACTACTGCAATTATAACACTGCCGAAAACATCCAGACCAATCAAATAAAGTGCGAATGAATCATTTTCGCTGAATTGTCACGTATGAAGCAGGAAACTATGAGGATCATATAATTTCGAGACAAATGATGACATTTCAATCGGATCAAACAAGTTTCATATGACCTAACACTTTATTTAATAATATTATGACAAAATAGTTTAGATTTGTTCGTAAAAATGAAAATACAACTCTGGTGAAATCCTATGCAGTATGTTCAGTTTGCATCACAGACTTTCTCTTTTATACATATTTTCTCCAAACAGTGAATGTATGCAGTGCTTTTGAGCCAAGAACACCTTGTCCACATTTCAAAGTATCAAAACTAAATGTTTGATGAGCTCGTCCAACTGGAATTTTCAAAGAATGAAACGAATTCGAGGGTTCAAACTCAACCATAACTAATCGCAACGAACTGCGGTCCGAAGACGTGAACTGAAACAATGGCTCGATCAATGGTGGTGTGGTTCAAGTATAGACACTGTTTTCATGGTTGAACATTAATTTCTTGGACTATGTTTTTGTACTGAATATACGACAATTTTAGACAAGGGTTACCTGAATTTTAGCCGACGGAGTTTAAGACTTCTGACCTCATGAACCTCTTGAAATTAAAAACCTAATTGTTTTTAGTTAGTTACCAGATATCGTAGTGCTGAGCAGCAGGCCAAAATGGGTGTGGATATCATTTAAGAAAAGATTCAGATACAAACATCCACATTCCACACGTGCACTTCACACAGCGAAAAATTTATTTCATACAATTAATAAGAGTCAATAATCATAGATTAACAAAAGAAAAGAAACTTGAGGACATGCAAAGCAAAACTGTTTTATATCAATGATCTTGTTCTGGCATATCATTATCATCTTCTGTTCATGGTAACTGGAATGTTACGATGAACTTGGCTTCGCTCATGCTATTCTCCAATCACATACCTCTATGACGAATACACTGCCGAACTACCATGAACGGGGTATGCCATTCAGTTCTTCGATAATATTCATTACCAAACATTTGCATTGTGTTCTTTCTTTCGCAATTTCACGTTCAACATCAACGCGATCGTGCAGATTAGAATTTTCGATTTATCTTCAAACACAGCTCTTGATCAAATCTTTCACCCAGTCCAGTAGAGGATACCTGTGCGTGTGCATGTGGGTCTTTTCTTTTGTTTACATCCACAAGATAGTAATGGAAGCGTTTGTAAAAGTGTTAGTGTCTGCAAGACTGTTGCGAGATTATTAGGATTTCATCTTTGTTTGCAAGAGAGTAGATAATCTTTTAGGATGATCGATGAGTAAAAAATGTAGTAAAAGCGTGAACTTCACTGACGGATACCAAAAATTTTTTAGAATTGGGAATGAATGTGAGGTTACCACTAGCACTTCCTTCCACTACCTCGATATTTCTCAAGTGTCTGTGTTAAATTGTAAATAAGCTTTGTTCATATATGTTCATGGATCAAATCGTAATATATAGAGCACTATAAATATATGGTTCTTGAGAAATATCACAGTAACGTTGATAGGTGAGTTTTTCAAAAGAAAAGAAGATATCATAATTCACCGAACGAAACGAGCTTGAGTAAATAACAAAAGAAAATACAATAAATTTTATGTAAATAAGACGCATTTAAATTTAACCAGGTGGTAATGCTTGTAGTGGACTAACCATCACTCGAAACACAGGAGTGGAATGTCCTTGTTGTAAATCATTCTGTCCCGATGTAGACATGTCTCTGTCATCCAAAGTCAATTCTTGCATATCATGCAAATTTTGTTGTTCCGACCGTAATCGATGTCTCCACACGCCAGTCAATATTAGACGACTGATTTCTGGACGATCATTTGTATTTTCACAAGGAACTTCTTCAACCTCTTTGATCATTTTGATCTAAAATGACAAAATGAATGAGATCAGCACGATATTAGAAGCACATCTGATAAATTTCTAGTATTTAAATTATTACTCTGAAAAAAGTCTTTTTCTTGCTTTTTATCATTCAATCAGAGGTATCACCGCCGTAAACGCTATGTGGTCAAAAACAAACTTTTTTTTATTGTGCTCAAAATGTTGAAACGTAAGGTGTTCTTTTGATACATCACTTTTAAGGATATCTATACGAGGTTAATAATATCTATTGCTTTCTAAAGTTATAAGAAATGATTCACAAGATAAACTATTGCAAAACTCATACAAGACTAGGCTATATAGTCAAATATCAGTTCTCACATGCTGCTTTAAAAATAACTATTGTTGGTAAAGTTTTAAGCATTGTGAGAAATCGTGACATCATAAGAAACAAAGTTTTTTTTTCACATAATTGATCTAGATCTGTCAATTTGCTAATAGTTTTCGTGCGCGACACAGGGTTAGATAGATAATCGAAACCTGCATCGGATACAGTACGCCTACACCTATGTCTCCTTTCATATTTCAATGAGTATATTTGAAAAATGAAAGTTAACTATCGAACTTCCGAAATATACCATCAGAATACAATCATCTTATTATTCGGCAAAAATAAACCAATTGCTACTAAATTACTATAGGGACTTGATGAGTTTCAACGTTTTGAGCCAGCCAACGGCTATTATGAATGAGTAGAAGTAAGTGTTCATCTGTTGAATCTGATGCGGTTTTTGATTATCTATCTAATTATCAGTCATGTGTCAAAAACAATTCACAAGTGACTAATCTAGATGAATAAAGCAGGAAGATTTTTTATCGATGATATTATGATGATTTATAAGGCTTAAAATTTTAGCAACTGTATTCATATGTAGACCAGCATGTCAATGGGTAATATTTTAGTATTTAGAGTAGTTTTATATGGATTTCTCAATAGTTTATCATCTGGATTATTTCGGATTAGTTTAGAAGACAATAGACGTTATTAACCTCGCGTAGGTATCCTAAATGGAAATATTCCTCAAGAACGCGTTATATTTCAGCATGTTAGGCACAACAAAAAACATTTCTTTTTGATCACATAGCCTTTTCGACGGCGACACATCTGACTAAACTATAAAAATCAAAAAAAAAGATTTTTCAGAATAATGATTGAGACATTAGGGGTTCACCTATAGGTTTCTATACCTCCTCGTTTCTGTTATTTTGCAGCTGCTCCTTGATCCAGGTGCGAAATTCACCAGTAACACGAATTGCACGATTCTCATAACATCGTTCTGCTTCAAAAAGAGCTATTTGGAAATTGAAGTTGTCTTTAAGTGAAGACAATGGAATTGGTATTATATTCGTCTGTTGCCAGCCAGTCGCGAACATACGAGAAAAATTATATTTAATGTCATCTGTAATATCTTCGTTTTGAATAAAGACGCATCGGTTGTCAAAACTGGGTTCATGTTCGTGAGCAGTGTCTTTTTCTTGCGTGACCATTCGTTTACTCCAATCATCCTCAATAATTCGTTCATTTCCCACAACATACATACGAATAAAGGACAATTGTCGGATAAATTCACAAATCTTATTACGATGCTGATATTCAAACCAACCTGTATCAATATTTAGCATTGTATGACATCCATGTAAACCCGTATAATCTTCGAGAACACAAACGACTGGCGAAATAATTCCTAAATTCTTACCTAAAAAAGAGTAAAAAAAATTAAACATTCAACGAGTATGATATGTTGAATGACTAAAGAATCAAAAAGCGATAGCACATTGTAAGAGAAAATGTTTTAACCATTGCACTCATTTTGTTCTGTAATTTTTAGAAATTCGGCGCACTCATCTCGAAAAATCAGACGTAAGATCTTCAGATCAGATCTGATATTGTATGATCCTAATAATAGACGAAATCGTACCCAGGGCGAACAATCGGACACTAAGATCGGACAAGATTCTGCGTCTGATCATATATGATCTTGTACGAGTTGGTATGAATCGTACAAAAAAAAACCGTAGTCTCTGAAATCTTACATCAATTCTTATTGTAAGATTCTTGATAGATCTTGTTGTCTTGTCAGATCTTACAGGAATCTTATAGTAAGAATTGATGTAAGGTTTCAGAGGCTACGATTTTTTCTACGATTTCATATGATTGTACAAGACTTATTGTCAGATTTTTTGACCTGAGTACGAAAAATCCCCAGGTCAAAAAATCTGACAGTAAGTCTTGTACAATCATATTCAATCGTACAAAAAAACGTGGTCTCAGAAATCTTACATCAATTCTTACTGTAAGATTCTTGTCAGATCTTACCGTCGCATAAGATTTTCTATAATCTTACAGTGAGATTAGATAGAACAACAAGATCTGTCAAGAATCTTAGAGTAAGACTTGATGTAAGACTTCTGAGACCACGATTTTTTGTACGATTTTCGTCTGATCTTGCAAGGTTATACAAGATCAGATGAACGATCATGTAAGATCTTACCATCTGTTTGTTTAACCTGGATCCTAGTGTCTGCAAAACTTATATCAAGTCTTAGCATGCGATTCTTCAAGATCGTACAGATAATATGATGTTGGAAGAATCGCATGCCAAGGTTTGATATAAGTTTTGCGGACACTATAATTTTTTGTACAATTTTCGCCTGATATTATAAGTTCACACGAGATCAGACATAAAGTCTTCTAAGATCTTACCATCGGATTGTTTACCCTGGCTATGCGTTTATTTTTCCGTTGTGTAGCAAAGTACGCATAGAAACTTACAGTATTGCAGTAGATGCTCTCTAGCGTTCATCAGGTTTTCACGACTTGTGTTCAATGGAATTAGTAGTATATGGCAGGGATCAGTCTACAAGGTTCATGCATTTGTTCTGTAGTGATATAGTGAAACTCTTGACATACCTTTAGTTTGCTAGAATACCATTCTTTCATCTTGATCGCTTGATCATGGTAATATTTTGCATTCTGTTCATCACTAGACATACGTGCTTCGTCACATTTCGTTTCAATAAATTCCAAAATCTCTAGTGTAACCATCCCTGTGATCAGGTGTTCGGTGATATGAAAGACTTTGGTTTCATTTTCAGATGGAACAGCATTTGTATTCCAGCAGGTAAAAACACGAAACACTTGATCATTTTTTGTCATCTTTTGGACAAATGAATCGTTGTGTATACCGATTGAATTGAGAAGAACAACGAATAATTTGCAACCTCCTGCTCTCAGTATCAGTATATCATCAGCAAGCTTTTCGAATTCGACAGCATCTGTGTTGGACACGAAATGATAACTCACCGGTAATCGTACATTTTTTCTTGCCCTTTTGATACTTTCTGGAGAGCCGATCACAACCACTTTAAATTCATTTTCCATACACGATTAGTAGTGAAAGTTCTAATAACGCTGTCAGTGTCGCAAATGCACGAGAAAATGGTCAAACACGGTGCTGTCTATAAACAAAGCGTAAACGGTAGCTTTCTATTTCATCGACACATTTTTAGCGAATAGTTTCAGAATTTTACGAAAGAAAATGATTGATACTTTAAAGAGAGCTATACATTCAACGTGCACACGATGACAAACAACCTGACTATAACACGAACAAGTTTCCACTAAAACAATTTTTTTTTGAAATTCATGAATTTTCGGTTAAATGAAACCATATGAAAAATGTTCTTTGTCATTTAATAAATATTTTAATAAAGTTGGTAAAAACATTACAATAGTATTTATCTTCACTATTTTATAAACTTTTGAATTTCGTTCTCACTTTCATGTTTGAAAAAACTTTCTTTAATAAAAAGTTGAATTTGTTTTTCTTCATAAAATACTGCTAAATAAAATGTGTATACGAAAAGGGGAAAATTGCTGTCAATAAACCAGAATAAAGAAAATTGTCGATAAAGCAGAAAAATATATTAATAGCTTTATTTTTTCGACGAAATGGAAGCAAACACATGCGACTCACCTGAACTCCACAGATGTACACGAATTTTTTCTCTCACGTGAATGGAAGAACGAAGGAAATTTTAGTAGATGGGAAAAAACCCACTCGAGTGAACTTATTTTACTAAACACACTATATGATAATATTCAGAGGTATCCCGAAGTGGGTCGAGAAAAGGGTGACTTTCACCTTGAAAAATTTTTGTTTTTCTCAGCGGATTTCCACCATTTTATTGGCGTTTGACTCGCTAATTTTCAAAGAAAGCTCAACCCTTCTAAAAGCCGATTAGATTTATCAGAAGTTGTTCAATAGGCTTCCTCAGTCATGTGATTCTTGTCCCCTATCAATCTACTCCTGGTAATTTCGGGGAATTCCTGATACCACACAAATCGTTTGTGACGGTTATTAGAATGCAAGATATGATTCAAAAACGAACTTATAACTCACCTTAACTCCACAAGTGATGTAATTTCGTCATCTTCTTACTCATCATCCAATAGACCAGGTTCATTGCTCACATCTTAAAGACTCTCTGCGATCTTAACTTCATGATCGCAAACTTCCAGAACTATATCATGTTCCTATTTCATATTCTTGTTAGGTATCATTTCTTCTTATAGAAAAGATTTGCCTATTCAATAGATGGCGCTCCTTTTCTATTCATGAGTTTTCATAAAATAATCGAATGTTGATCTTTGGTCTCATGTAATAGAAGAAACCTACTATTTCAATCTCTTAGGCATGATATTTGAAAAGAAATCTATTAAGACAACTATTCTCAGGGTGTGAGTGTTAGTTGGTATTAGTTAAGAGAAGGCTCATATTTTGTTGTCATCAACGCTACATTTTTTCTTTTGACTTTTGTTCGCCTTTGTACAGCAACTAATTATCGAATGAATATCTTCCGTATGAGTCAAGATCAACAATCATCAGCGAGGGTACCCATGTATGTTGTGATAATAATGATTATTATTCTCAGTTTATCATATGTTATTACTTTTACATTCGGAAAATTTTTTCAATCTGAAGACCTAGTACGATGTGAATGTGGTTGTGGGTTCTATCTTCACTCACACTCGTCGTCACATTACACAACTAATCTACATATTCTCATCGTGAAGAATATTATTTTGTACAACTATTTCTATACCAAAATCACATTCACTTGTTGGTATTCAATTTTCAAGATCAGCTGATTTATATAAAATTTTACTTTTAATATTATTATTAGCATTAAGAAATAATCGAAGAAGATATTTTTTGTCAATTAAACGTGGTAGTTCAGCTGCATCAAACATTGGCATAGCGTTATTCATCAAATTACGTGTACAAAAGCCAATCAGCATCAGTAAAAATTTTATTTGTTGCTTAATTCACTATATGTTAGGATAATTTTTCTTGAGTGCAACGATGAAAATATTTGAGCACCCTTCCAATTTGGTTCAAATTAATGCTTATGAGAAAAATAAAGTTTGTTCAAAGAAAAAATAATGAATTACCTAACTAAACAGCATCTTGACAATGTTACGAGTTCAAGAATTGATATGCGAAGCATTCTATACTCTTTATTTCATCAATTTCGAATAATTTATAAATCTTGAATACAGTTCTATATGATTGAAATAAAAATTAGATCTATACCTATCGATCTTCAGTATCGTAAGGAATGCTTTTCTTCTTCTTCTTTCTCTTCTATTTCGAAACGCTTTATCGCAATGCTTAGATCGAGAAATAAGAGATCTTTTCGAAAAAAAAAATCATCGATGAAATTATGACAACGAGACCTCTATGACTACTTATCAGAACTCTCTTGCATAAAGGTATATTGCATTGATTATTCAATTATTTCTATTATCCATGATCTAGAAGCAGCTTTTCTTATAGCTGTATCTGAAACTCTTTTCAAAATAATTATTTTGCAACTCGAAAACAAAAAAGCAGTGCCTAAACTTCGACATTATTCTTTTAACAACAAAAGTCACAAAAATTTGTCTTTTCATCGAATTTCCTACAGAGAAACTGTATGCACTAATGAAGATCAGAAAACGGTTGTTACCGATTTAGTCGTGATAGCTTTCGAGTTTCGATTCTCGAGATCATCGCGCCAGAAAATACGAATTATCGATAGGTATGATCAAAATACTGAACTGTGTACCGCAGTTATCAGTACTAATGTTGCTCAATTCAGTCCACTGAGTATTGACAAAATCTATTGAAATTCTAGTTTTTAGCATTGGGATCTACCGTAGGTAACCATACCATTCCTTTCAATAGTTCCAGAGCTGTATTTTAGAATGAAAATTCAATAGCTTAACATAAACCACTTGACCGAATTCTAGTCATTTATAGAATTGATATTTAAGAGCAGATGAAAGCATTGTTAAACTTCTGCTCAAAATTAAATAATCTATTAGATGACTTATATTTTGATTATCCATAAGTTTTGTCATTAAATATTAATCTATGAAAACAAGATAATATAATGGAAATATTTTTATACAAGAATATAACTACTATCAGATATTACATGATATTTGCGTCTCTTCAATCATGTACACTATTTCACTAAATAATTCTGTATTCACTAATATAGTAAAACCTCTTGAATCTGAACACGATGAGGATCATTAAAACCCGCTCACTATACGGACGTGCTCAGTTTACAAAGATTGCGCTGTCATTATGTTCTTCATACATACAATAGTGAATTCATAGCTGAAGTGTACTTAGTGTTCATACATATGAGACTGACAATCCACAATAGAAAGAAGTCAAAAAAAAGATTGCCCGTATGTTTACATAGAAAAGACTAAACAGTCAGAAAGATTTCAAAATAGTCCTTATTGTTCAAAATACGAAGATATTCAGAGTAGAGAGAAGTATTTTCAACAAAAAAACAAACGTTCCATTGGATCTGAGATTCCTTATAAGTAGAAGATGTTCATTAGTAGAAGTTTAACTGTAGTAAAATTTGATTTGAATACTAAGTCAATATTGAATGTCCATACAGATGCGACATCTGTTCCATAATTGAAAGATTAAAAAAGTTGATCTATCCAATATATATTAGGTTTATTATTCATTATACAAAATATTTATTTTGTACTTATATCATTCTTATATGAAGTCAGTCAGATATCAATTGTGACACGAGATCTAAAGAAGACAAGACAATCTAAATATGGCATCTGGTTTTTTTCTATTCCATCTAAAACAATTAGATAATTTGAATGTATTTAAGTAGATTATTTTTTCAAGAAAAATTTGAAATTAATGCTTTAAAAATTATTTTAATGTTTAGATTTTAATATCATCAGAACTCAATCGAATACAAATAAAAAAAAACTGTGCTTCATATTTAAGTTCTCATCATTTTTAATATAGCATAACTTGTACAAGAGATCGATTTTAAAAATAATAGAAGAATGTTTATAGCATAAAAATAATGAATAATATTAAGAAGTCTATTTAGTTTCTTATCTAAGATGAGATATACTTCAAAAATAAATCGATAAAATGTAATTTTCGGTTATAATAACAATTTCATTGTTATGTCATATAGTGTCCTAAGATTCATATGAATGTTACTTCTGAATTTATTTCATCGATGAATATTCAAATTATTCTTTTTGTTTTGCAAAATATTTGTAGAAATATACATTTTAGATGTATATGCTTTAATAATATAAAACAGAACAGTACTGTTAAAAAAGCGAAATGTTTATTAATCATGAATGATTCAAAATTAACTAATCTCGATGGAATTCCTGAATATAGAAGAATAAATACATCTGTTGATACACATATTTATAATACACCAATGATGCATACAACAAATATTGATAATACTTCAAAGTCAATGTATAATTAAATTCATTCTATTTTTTGTTAATATTAATTTGATTATTTTAGGAAAATAATTGTTCAGAATCCATTTGAAGATCCATTAAATACTGTAAAATATCATCATAATTCATTAGCACAACATAATTTGACTGTTGGATCATCAACACATCAAACATCTGATAATTTATCTAATAACAATAATAATAATATATCAATATCACGTAATATTCAACAACAAAATTCATCAAACCAACATCCTGTTCGTTTTAATCAAGAATTATTACATAACTTTGGTATTAACATTCCAACATCAAGACAATCAGAAATAAGAGAACATTCATTATCATCATCAATATCTTCATCACTTATACCTATTCCATCATCATTATCAAATAATTTAGGTATTAATAATATACAACATATGAATCAAGCATCCATAACACCAACTATGATAGGAACATATCCTATTCATTCATCATCTCTAAATAATAATTATATTTCTTCTCAAACTAATTTTGATAATCATAATCATAATCATCATCATCATAAATCAACGGGAATTTATATTAATAATTCTCATTCAATTATTGGAAAAGTTAATCAACAAATACAATCATCAAATGAAATATCACCTATTGTTCTAAATTATCCAACAATGATACAAACACAACAAATGATGCAACCACGAATGATACATCCAAATACTTATGGACTATCATCACAAGTAATAATGCCACAACAATCATCGATCATTTATGATCCTAATATTATTTATCAAACAAATGGACAACAATCTCATCATTTATCATCCGATAATGATAATCTCAAGTCTTTATCACAAATAAATTCACAAGTTGTATGTTGAATTATGTATTGAATTTTTTTGAAAAATGATCTAAAAAGAATATTAAAGTACTGGAGTAAAAACATGGATTGATCTCTTCTAGACTGTAACAGACACAAGTCAGAGATAGAGATCGGCATCGAAGACATTTTTAGGAATAACCAGATCACTCGAAATTGTCTATCAGTGAATTAGGCTGAGTTTCACAGATTTTTTTTTTAAGTGGTTAATTTTATTCTTTGATATTTACTTACACATTGATGTATTGGGCAGGCTAAATCCACGTGAAAATAGTAAGCAAAATTGAGTCCAAATACTATTCACGCGCGTAGGCCAATCTATTTTGTTGAATATAATTTATTACTGAGACATTTAGTTGACTCTGATAAAGGTCTCTAGTGAGTGGTACCTTAGTAACATTGTCCCCTCCATCGTTGACAATAACTTGGACCTTTAGTGAAGAAATAAAAGTAATCTTTTTGTGATTTCAATATGTCCAATATTCTGGTCTGAAAAATTCTGTGCCCAAAAAATGGCCAAGTTTCTATCCTTTTAAAGAAAAGTATCTTTTTCATAGAAAGTTGAAAGATCTATGAGATTAATCGTAGAGATTTTGCTCTTCTCAAAAGACATGTTTCGTTTCATCGACGAACACACTTTAGCATAGCTTCGTACTCGATAAACTCTTCAAAGAATTTTTTTTTCTGTCTGATCCATCTACTCACTTAGCGTACATGCTTCTGGACTAAGATACAGGATTTTCTTTAAAAACTGTTCGTATTTTAAATAATGTCCGCATGTTTTTGTCTCAGAAGTAGTTCAAAAGAAAAATAATGACATATTTGAAATCAGCACGAAAAAGCTGCGTCAAATAATGTGCCACTTGTTAATTTTTTAAAATAAAAAAAAATTTTTTATAGAAGTTTTGGATAGTGATCCTGACATGCATTTTCCATGGAAAATTTTGCTTTAAGAATATCACTTTTGTATCGTTGACAGAAAATAAGCCATGTTCAAGTACTCTATAGAAATTGTCCACTTTTTTTGCATCATGAACTATGACAACCGTTGTTGATCTATCATCACAGACTGTACATAAATAATTTCTCGTTAGTACTTCTATAATGCATTTCAGGAGAATTAGGTAAAACGATGCTGAAGAAATGTATCCTAAAATAGATAGAATAAAACAATCTTTTCATGATTACTAGCAGCAGTCATATCGAATTCTACATTTTAATTTTGGAAGGATTTCTCTAACAACTTGTTCAATTGTATTTGTTTTTTTTTGCAGAATTCCCAAACTGAATTAAAATCACAAGCCAAATCAAATAGTAATGAATATTCTCAAATGAATATTTCAAATTTAACTTCAACAACTCCTACAGAGAAAATACCTAAATCACGTAAAAAACGTAAAGCAAATGATTTAAATACATCATTTGAAGATGATGTACCTATAAAATCACGTAAACGTAAAAGTAAGTTCATTGTTTTTGTTTAGTTTTTTTTTCTAATAAACATCGAATCTTCATTAATTTATTCAGAAAAAGGTATCGAATTGACAGAAAAATTTGTTGAACATTCATTACAACAATTACGTGATTTACCTATGCTTACTTCTCT